ATGTTTTCAAGATAATTTCCAATGAAACATACGTGATTGAAACGAAAAAAAAATTCGAGATATTAAATTTTATATTAAAAATCTATATATTTCTTTGTGCGTTAATATAAATCTTTCATGTGTATATAATAAATAAATATAGTATGTAATATGAAAACAAAACGTTATGAATACAACTTTCACATGTATCTAATTTGTTTAAAACGTAAATATTAACATATGTGTGTTTTTTGACTGGAGAATCTTTTTAAAGACTTTATCGTGAATATCGTGATACATATATATAAATATACAATATATATTTGCTTAATGTTCTAGTTAACAAGGACATTTAATTGCTCTACATTCCCTTTGCGTAATCACTCAATAAATCTGTTTCGAATATCTAAGACTGTAGATATCTCTCTTTGCTGGCCTAAGGACATTGGTAACATTCAACCGTTTCCGAAGGTCCGAGAGGCTACGAAGCGTGGGGAAAACAAGCAGAACTGGTCTCGCGTGCGTTGTATTAAACTACGCAGGATCCTTCGATCGGCTTGACTCGCAGTAATAATTCTCTGTTCTGGCGTGAACGATCTTTGCTTCGTTCATCGCAGGGGTTAAAGTTCTCGATAGGCTACCGACGTAAATTACTAACAGTCAAACTCCACGAAGAAAGAAATAGAGATTGCACGTAGAATCACTCTTGTCTCTCAGGTTGAATATTAAATTTAAAATGCTAAGATAAAATACGAAAGTACGACGTATAATAATGGATTGGTATACACTTTGAAAACAGACGCAGGAAAAGGTGGACATCTTCCTGTCGTGCTGCCCTCCTGTCGTGATTCCTACGGTCATTTTGCACCGTAATCCCTTTGTCCATTAATGTTAATACACAGGTTACCTTGGGTAATGCAATGCATTCAAGTAGTTTAGTTGCATTGAATACCCATGACGCAGAAGATTTTTTTTATTAGAAGAAAATAGAGATTTTAAATAGAATTTTATTTTCATAAGGGAGCTACTTCAATTTCCTATCGTATTCGATGTGTTATAAGTATATATGTTCGATGTAGTTTCCGATCTTGTGTAATTAGTACACATTTATACTTAAACGGATTGTGTTCTACAGTTTCATAGCAAGTACACGTTGCGTCATAGAGTAATTTGATTTTGACCGAATCGCGGGTGAGCATAGATAATGCTGAAAAGTTACGCAAGATTCCGTCGCGATTGCGATCAAGGTGAAAGTCTTCGGGCTCGGTAGAGCGAGACTTAGTGGTATCAGCAGGCGAGTCTCGTAAATTACAGGCAATGTCGTTGGAGAATGTCCTTTAACGACGAGCATCAAGGAGCCTTTTCTGCCTCGGGGATAATCGCGTGCTTCTCGGTGGACTCGCACGTTTTTCATTGTTTTTCATGGCACGGACCAGCAGCGATACGGATTCGTTCCTGGCGATTTCCTCGCCACGGTGTGTAGTTGTCTATCCCGCGAGCCTCCAGGACTTTTAATGTATGTACAATTATCTCGCGTTTATATCTGCGAGCGCAAATCGAGTCGCCTCGCATATGCACGCCTTCTAGACAGATTAAGTCTAGTGCGTCACGCTGAATTTCACGGCGAGCCAGAAATTTTTATCCTAACCGGAGAATATCACTTTTCATGCATGTATAAAGGATACTTTTACAAAGTGAGTGGTTGTCTATAACAAGTTCTATTTTAAGATACCATTACTTTAAATGCGTTTTAAAAAGTGTTGTTAAGAATTTGTAAAGATCTATAAATAACCCTCAACTATAACTATAAAAACTACACTTAAATTCTAAGTTCTGTTTGAATCACGCAAGAAAATATTTTACTGTTCCAACTAAAATTATAGCTGTTTTTTGTATCCGATAGAAAATTATGTATCATACGCATAGAATTTATAGCACAAATCTAAATTCTATCTCTGTCATCTATGTCAGATTAGGTGCAATATATATCCAATATCGCAGTATTTGTTAGAAATTTATCTATTTTAGCTATTTTTCGTACTTACAATTACATAATTTTCGCTATAACGGCAAAATTACTTTTTTGAGTGATTACAGAATGCAAGTGAATTTCCGCTTTGCAACGATCAATAAAGAGAGATTCAAATTTTTTTTTACCAATTTAGAACCTCATAACACACCAATCTTACAGATTATACAACCTAAAATTTTCAGTTCGAGTCCAAATCATTGCTGTAGTCGAAGATTAATCTAATATGAAACAATTTATAATTCGCGCTAAATTGTAAAATGAAATTTTGTTTTAAAAAAATGAGTAGAGGTATATTTTATTACGTTAAATCGCATGTCAGTGACATGATGTCACTTTGTCACTACTTCCTATATTTAATTATAAGTCTTCTCCTGAGAAACCAGAAATACTGAACGGCACTTCTGCGTCGTTCTGGCTGCACTTTTTTCGCGAACATAAGACGCTTTCACTGAAATGCGTAAGATTCGTTGAATACTTTTGTAGCAAAAACTTACGCGTATTATGAAATGAGAATGACAAATAGCGTGACAAAATGAATAGTTAACATTGTTCAAATGAAGAAGGAATTAATTCAACGAGAATTTAATTCATCATTTTCGAGATAATTGTATATACGTTGGGAATATTTTATGATGAGAGGAAGTTGATGGTAGAGATTGTGAATTTCGCTTGATTGTCACATTAAAAACGTCAATGTACTGACATTGAAATTTATTTATTTCAACACGTTTCTTAGTAAGAATTTGTTTTTTAAAATATATATTTGTAAAATTATAAAAAATAAAAATTTCCTGTTATATGACTTCAATGTTATTTTTTTCCTAATAAATACATAAGATAAAAAAATAAAATACAAAATGAATAAAAAAAGATTCTGCAGCAGTCAAGTTAATATTTATTGCTCGTTCAATAGCAGTATGACGCAAGGCGTCTTCTAAAGCGAGTTTTTATTAAGAGGAAGTTTCACGCTTGAAGTATTCGAGAGTGAATCTTCGCGGTTATACGGTTTCTCAGGTTAAAAAATGTTAATATGCCACTGTCTCCGTGGATTATGTCAGAAGAAGATCCTGCACAGAATCGACCCGGGTGAGCGCCGAGCTCCTTCCTCGGAAGGACTCCCCGCATTGGCTCCGGGGTGAATCAGTCCTTTGTGCCGGGCACTCTCAGGGTCAACCACTTTCGGTGCAGTATATACCTCCGACGGTTTGTATGTACACTCGCAAACACACTCGCCCGTCCCAAGCGTGCCTATAGGGTATCCTGAAAGTCGCCGCGTAGCCAACAGTCAAGTACCACTGAGCTAGCTAGGTATTTTCAGACTGATTCACTGCCTCTTTCGACTTGCTACATCCTCTCGAAAGTGTGAGATAAGATTTAATCCGTGCGACTAGAAATCATACTTTGTGCGGAATTAACTTTGAATACGTATACATTTTCGGAATATTTATTGCTATAACTACGAAAACGCAAAAGAATAAATCCAATATTATTTCTTTAGAAAAACATATCTAATGAATCATGCAAAATAAAACTAAGTGACTTTCAATATTTTCTCAATCCGATTAAAAAACCGGATAAATTAATTAAAAAACATGAAGTTCTTATATAGAAAAAAAAAAGATCTAGCGTTGCTAGACAATCTTGCTTGTTCTTTAGAATCGTTACTCGATGTCTATTTTATGTAAACAGATTAGAGAGACGCGATGTATTATATAACATTGCGATGCATGCATCCAATCGCATCCGTAACCGAATAATTCTGATGGAAAAAGCTTTCGTGCGCATCAAGCAGCAAAAAGACCAAGCAGCATTCTCTGCGCTAAGAGCTCGTTAGAGCACGCGCATTCAATCGTTTCTTAAATGTTCGAGGAGATTCATTTCGGTTGAAGTGGGTACTTCGAGAGAAACGACGACGTTTTCCATATTGTCGAGTCTGGCGGCAGTTAGAAGGGGTTGAACCCTGCTGTTCCTTTTTCTCTGGTGATCCTGAAGTTTATTGGCTCGACGCCGTTCAAAGTCGAAAAAATAAATCAAATAGACTGCTGTGCGAGGGACCGAGAGTGGCGGGAGATTCGCAGGAAACGCATGGAGAAGATGAGGACGAGAGAAAGAGAGACAAACAAAGAAAGAGAAAAAGAGAGAGAGAGAGAGAGAGAGAAGCTGAGCGAACTATGGCGAATTCGTCTTTGCCAGCGGCAGAGGATGTTTCTCACGAAATTTCTCATCGCGATTCGCGAGCCTTTAATTCGAGTCGCTGCTGATTCACTCGTGACGTCTTGCAACGCAAGCGAAACAATCGCGGGCGATGTGATCAGACCGCAAACATCTTCCTTTTCTTTTAACGATCCCTCACTGCGATTAAGTCAGCGTTAAGAGGTAATTGATTTTTGCGTTCAACGAACAGGTTCGATAAATCGTTTCGCAAGGATATCGATAGGATACACTGGCGAGACGTCTCTCTCACGCTTCTCGCATCTCCTTCGCCCATCTCGTGCGAGAAACTAACAAGTCAGCCTCTACCGCTGACGTCATTGGCATAGATCTACTTGAGTCTATGGTTGATGGACTATTTCACCCAAAAGATCTAGAATAGCTCTAAATAAAATTAAATTTAAATAAACTTGTTCAATCATTCGTAACTTGACTGCAACCTTGGCAAGAAGTGTAGAAAGAGATGAATAAATTTCGGTAAAAGAAATTGGCGAATCGAAAGTTAAATTAATTTTTTATACTGAGATGTAAGGCCGAATGTCGAAGTGTGATCGCTAAAAATAACGTGTTAACAAATTTACTGCGTTTTAACTTTTTGTTATCTACTTAATGTATATCTATTTAATGAAATGAGTAATCTAATAATAAAATTATAGCAAAACTATAAGTTTAATAATCGAAACAGTTTAACGACGAATTCGTGATACATAAATCTGGCGATTTGATTACAGAAACGAGACGCATGACAGACGGATACCAGGTGGGCGTTATCAGGTCCGCCGGCACGGATAATCCGGCATTCGCCAACGAAGACGAGTGCGTCAGCGGTTCCAAGTTGGAGAACGGCGGCCAGCAGCAAGCGGCCTTGAACCAGGATCGCAAGTCCTCGGCGGACAGTGCGCCGGTAGAAAATGGCCACCAGCGATCTTTTATCTCCCAGCACTACGTCGAACCCATTAAGCCGAGCTCGGAGCCATGTTATAAAACGGAAACGAGAATTGAGGTGCCGGCCGATAACACGGAGAAGAGCGTGCCAGAATCGAAGCTCAACGGCGTCCACGGGAATGGCAATAATAACGACGCGAGTTTCCTTAACAACAGTGCTACGAGCGTACAGATCAACGGTGAGTTCAAATAATATCACGTATACGATATTCCGGTACTACATGGACACACTGAGGCTTGAATACGTTATATGAATACCTATGAACTTAAAATATTATGAGTAAGGGCATTTGATAAGATTAGAATTAGAAGTAGTCGCGCGCGCTTCTAAAAGACCGAGTTAACTGTACATTTCTAGTCACGTAAATATAATGTACGAATAGAAGGAAAAATACCACAAAAGAAACCGCTATAGAAAAGCTTATCATCTTCCATTACCGTCACCCGTAGGACACGATTTCAGTAAGAGCGATTTCAGTAAGAGACTTTCAATCGTTAATTACCGGCATTGGCATTACTACCGGTTTGTCGAGAAAAAGTCGTTCATGGCCGATAAAATCCCAGGAAGTATCGTATCCGGGACTTTTCATGGTGGATCCGTTGACACACGTCACGATTATTAACATATCCTGATCATCTTTCTCAATCTTTTAAAGTAACAACAGTAATATTTCTTATCTAAATTAAATTAAACCATCAATCTCTTCCTTTCATTAATTATTTGTTTACGTACCTCTTATTAACATACAATATCCTTATATTTCGTGTGAATTTGCTTCCCTCGTTACGCTATGCATGCAGCAGGAAACTCGGCCCTGTTTAGTCACATTACTATTTCGCGGAATGCGGTTTCTCTGCTGTTTCGTGTGTGACCGGAAAATGAAAACCGGTTGCTCCATACGCGTGGATGTACCTCGATGGTAAACGGTTTCCCGTTTTCCCATAGACTCCGGAAAGAAGGAACAGATCGAGGCCGTAAATTTGGAACTGGTCTCAATGAGGCCATACACGGGCAACAATATTCAAACAAAGGGTCAGGAAGCCTGCGAGGTACCAGCTGATCCTTACGAGGAATACTTCGTGCCGGTTAACGAGCATCGAAAATACATCAGGTAACGAGTTTGTCAAAGCGAACGTGTCTCTGACGCTTACGCATTCTTTATTTCATTTCTAGTTCCGCCTTCTAACTCTTATTTAACTATTTTTCGTAATTACCAGCCGAATATGCGAAAATTCGTCCGAATTTTAAAAACAGGGAACAAATTCAGAAAAAAGAGAAAAACGTACGTCCTTATAGGATCTTCCAATTATATATATGTACGGAATATCATGATCGTTTTTAAACAAGACTTTCTGTTATTGCTGTCAGATTTACAATGGAAGACCATTTTTACAAATACAAAAAGCTATATTGCGCACGATAAAGGGTTAACTACGTTATGAAAAGCGAGAGTTTGCCATATAAATTAAACATACCAACACTATCAGATCCTGGCGCGCAATAATTACATACGTCTCAATATCCATTTTAGAATAACCATACTGCTAGCACTATGTATGTCATAGAATTACGGTGAAAACGTCTAGAGAAAACACGTGTGTAGGATAGAAGTATATTTCTTAGAAAGAAGCGTACAAGTATTCCATTGCCGAGGGAATTGTCAGGCGATAGAGATATCTTAGCACCGTTTTTAGCTCCAGCCAATAGCACATAGAGCTTGGACAAGCTGCTGATCGAAAAGCCTCACATAGAGAGTTAGACGGTGTTTTCTGTTGTCACGGTACTTAGCAGGGGTCCCGAGGCCGAGGTTGAAACAACCGTAGCTGGAGTGCGTTTTGATTTGGGCCCCGGCGTCGGCCGCGAGGGACTCAGCCTGAGAGATCCCGCCGCCGGATTGGTCGACTATTCCCACTGGCTGACAGCCCTCAGGTACTTGACGGATGTTTTCGAGGGAAAAAAAAACAAAGAATACAGCTGGGAACTGTCTTACAATTAGTGGAATATACTTTAGGTATCTCTTAGGGGCACGCGGTCGCGTACTAACACGCTTATGCTATCAGTCCTCTCCCGAGTCGAATCGAATACGAAAATTTCTTCATAAAAATTGCACGTCCAAGAATTTACCCTTTGTTTCGTGTCCTATCGATACCGAGACATGGCTTCTCCAAATAAGAGAATCGATAACAATATAGATCGCAAAGATCGACACACATATTACCACTATAAACGTAGGAATCACCGTTGATTAACTGATCAGCATTAATCCCGAAATGTAGTACCGTAAACCAATCAAAACGCAAACCAAATCTCGCGACAGGTTATTCTTGTTCTCAAAATCTAATCGGAGATACTTAAGCAAGAAATGCGCGCGGCAGGGGCACTACACATGGTATATGATCCAGAGATTAGGCATTAGACTGGGTGCGACCAAGGAAGCTTTTAATCCCATTGGCTGGACATTGACGAAGGTTGCTAGGAATCGCATTACATGCGCAACGCTGTATAAATTACGCTTTTTGGGTTTAGGACAAGAAAGACGTTACATGCGATAGATTCATGTCTCTATGTCATAACGAAATTGTGTTGCAGGGGCGAGAAACTTTACGTTACGAAGGACAAAAGGTCTAGAAATTCATACTGGAGAAGAATGGCCTGGGGATGCGCGCTGTTGGTCATAGTAATTGCCGTAATCATCGCTATTTTGGCCGCAAGTAAGACGGGTTATCATTCTTTTAACTTTATAAGTTTTATTTTTACAAAACGTATATTATCCATAGCATAAAAAAATATACTATTCATACAGCAATATAAAAAAATATTATACATATATAAAATAAATTAGACCCTTTATAAGTATACAATAAAATTATTCCAAAATACAAATGTTGTGTCTTTATTTTAGCTGGTGTATTTCCAATATCAGCTACAGAACCCTTGGAGAACGTGGAAGAAAATAACACACGCCAATTTAACGAAGTGCAGACGGCTGGAAGTCGAGAATATGTGAAGGATCCGCCATTAAGTCCACCACCTTTAACTTCGACTTTTCCACCGTGGCCTACAACTGACGAAACGCTATTCGATATTGTACCAGACGCTCTGGATGGAACTTTGAGACTAGACGATTTTAATTGGAATGACGATTTTAGTGATATCAAATCTCGAGTATACAGACAAGTAAGCTCCGAGATAGAGGAACATCTAGGGAACATTCTTCGGCAAGCGGGCAGCACGTCTATAATCAAAGTATACGACATCAATAAGGAAGGAGAAATAAGATTCAGAATAAGTCATCCACCTCGGAATGCACCTGAAGAGAGTCAGGAATACATCGAAGATGTATTACGAAAAAATGGTAATATGATCGGAGAATATCACTTGAACAGACTTCATGTAGGAAAGCTTATTGATCAATGTGAACATGGCAATCTCGAGTGTACCGGAAACTGTAAATACGATTACCCTTCTGGCATATTTGTATGTATCTGCAAATTAGGAGAAATATTACATCATGATGGCAAAACTTGCGTGGATGATAGCGATTTGAGTAATGTCGAAATGGATGATGTAATGCCACAATCCAGCACGGAACCAATTGATGATTTTCAAGGCAGAAGCAGAGATCCAGGCGCGATAGACTTCGAACCCAGACATCCCAATACTTGGAAAAATACGGATTTCAAAACAGGTTCGGCAGAAACAGACACATCGACGGCGAAGTCTAAAACAAAAGATGTTAATCCTGAGCAATCTGACATATCAATAGAACAGCAGATTGAATTCACACCAACAACGAAACATTTAATTTTCAAGAATGATGATTCTGATTGGAATCATGAATATGTACATCATTCGAAGGAAACCACCATTGAAGCAGAGCCTCCTATTAAAGCCTCCCAAAAGCCTTATGCTGAACCAGAACCTACCGCTGGACCAGAACCTACCGCTGAATCAGAACCCACTGCTAAGCCAGAACCCAGTAGTGAGTCAGAATCCAGTGCTGAGCCAGAGCCCAGTGCTGAGCCAGAGCCCAGTGCTGAACCAGAACCCAGTGCTGAACCAGAACCCAGTGCTGAACCAGAACCCAGTGCTGAGCCAGAACCCAGTGCTGAGCCAGAACCCAGTGCTGAGCCAGAACCCAGTGCTGAGCCAGAACCAAATGCTGAGCCAGAACCCAATGCTGAGCCAGAACCCAGTGCTGAGCCAAAACCCAGTGCTGAGCCAAAACCCAGTGCTGAGCCAAAACCCAGTGCTGAGCCAGAGCCTACTATTTTACCAGAAATTACTGTTCCACCAGAACTCACCGTTAAACCAGAACCAGAACCTACATTAGAATCTACTGTACCAAATCCTGCTTCTGAACCAGAGCCCACTGCAAAACCAGAAATTACTCCTGAAGTCGAATCTACTATTGAAGCAGAATCTATTACTGAAAGAGAATCTACTGCAAAATTAGTGCCTGTTACAGAATCAACAACAACTATCCATGAAACAAACAGTGGGGTAAAATCAAAAACAGAGTCGCAACATTTAACAACAGAACCGTATTTAAAATCAAAAACTGAAATATCTGATCAACCTGAATTCTCTGTTAAACCGATATCTCATGATGATACTTCTGAATCATCTACACAGACATTACTTTCAGACGATGCTGGTACAACTAATGTATTCAAATCTCTTATTGATTTAACAGATAAAAGCAATAATTCCAAAAACGATGAAACTCCTATCACAACTGTAAAGCCTAATGAAAATCTAACAGACAATGATACATCCTCACAAGTAATACCTTTAACATCTAAAGATATCAATGATAATATAGATACTAAAACAACGACAATACAATCTCATAGTAAGAATGATGAAATTACTGAAAGTACAATTATCGAGGCCGGTCTTACTACCTTAAATTATAGAGATTTAAAACAAAATGGTGATGTAAATGTTATATCAGCCAGACCTGAGAATCATGAGAAATCAGTTACAGAACAGTTTACACAAAATCCTAATCTTCAAGAAGATAAAGAAAGTGACTCTACTACAAAAACAAATTTTGATGCAAATTTAAATAATATCCAAAGTAGTTCTGCGACTAGTGAACACGATTTAATAACAATGCAAAAATCAGACACCGATTTAAATGTTTTTGAACAAGTCAGTTTAACTACTGCAGCAACTACTGTGCCAGTCACATCAGTAAAAGAAAAAACAGAATCAATTACTAAATTCATGAATGACGATAGGCATTCATCGACAGGACATATCCATACAATAGAAATAAATGGCGTAAATAATAGAAACCCAGAAACAAATAATTATACTAAAGTACACGAGACAACTGCGATACCAGAGACTACTCCAAATGACATATTTACTCAACCAATACTTGGATACCGAGAAGAACTTGTACCCGAACCCGCGTTGCAACCAAATACACCAGATTCGAACGAGAAAAATGTCATCGAACATATGCCAACAACAATCTTCCCTAAAGTACCGGAACATTTTGCCCACAATGTCGAGCCACTCAGGGAACCTATCGTGAAATCAGCGGACGACGAACATATCATGTTGATACCAAAATCCGAGCAACCGGTAGAGATACATGCGATAATTCCACAACTCATTCCAGAACAAGCCACAAACAAATCTCTGAAGGCAGAAAATTCGACAACAAAAGGGAATAAATCTGTAGAAGATACAACCTCGATCGACTCATCTACAATGCGTACTAGTGAAAATATCGTTCATGCGAGCAATAATAAGCATGCGACACGATCCGATGAAATTCAAGAACATTCAACGAGTCATCCCCTCCACCCGGCAGTATTTCCAGAAAATTCGGTAGATCATTTCACAGGGAAGCCAGACGATCGACCGGCTGAAGATATGTCACCATTCTTACCGGATGTTCATAAAGAAAAGGAAAGTCTAAAGAAGCCACGCTTAGATAAGGACGAGCAAGACGGTCCTAATCCTTTTGAAACCCATATCGATGATGTTATAACGCATCGGCCATTAATACGTAACAATGCAGACAGAGTAAATGAAACCGAAACCAAAGATTTATTGAATGACGTTAATTCCAAGAATAATGAAAAGAAGGTAGATATCATGAAGGAAACACAGAACCATGAAATAAATACAGATGATATAGGCAACAGCACAAATACTAACAATATAGAATCTAAGATTCTGAATGTATCACATCAAAATAATACAGCGAAATCAGTCGACAATGACGGAACAAAAGGCATTACAGATCAGGAAAACGGTGGTTTCTCCGAAGATAAAGAATTGAAAGTGATCCCATTAGCAGTAGAAGATAAATCGGTAGATTCAATTTCTCAAACTACACTGCAACCTATAGATAAGAAAACAGAATCTGAAGTAACTTCCGCTGGAAAGAAAGTACAAGAAGTTGAAGGTATCACTATAGAAAGCGGTGTGACAAGTTCAGAGAAACTAGAAGAAAACGCTGTCGAAGATCATTACAACGATATTACGGATGAGGCTTTGTCAAAAGGGTATCGACACGATAATACCGGCATTCCGATTAAAGTTATAGAATCGTCCAAAAAAGCAGGTTTAAAGGACATTGACCCTGTAAAAATTTCTTATAATGGTCCTTATTCGTCGTTAACTACATTCGATGTCATAAAGAAAAAGGACGGAACGAACGAGAAGATATCTTCTGATACGACACAAAGTCCGATGGTTACAAAAACCGATGGCGTTGTAAACAATCAAATGGAAGATGGTAGATTGACCACACAAGAACCTGTGTTGCCTATAGAAATTCAACAGGAAATGTCCACGACAACCGACAAAGTTGAAATCACCACTGTAATCGATGACGGAAAACGTGAAGAGAACAATACGGAACCGCCGAATGTTGGTCAATCCGACGAGAAAGAAGCTGTTACAGCACAATTGACAACAACTCAAGCCACACTGGAAACTAAGACTACAGCTCAGATCCCAATCTTACCCGAGGAGTTGCAAACGACAGAAAGCGATATATTATCAACAACATTGAGTGAAGAGATACCGAGTGAAGACAAGAAAATGGACAAAACCGTTTCAACAGATGATGCTAACAATGCAACGAGAAAAAACGAAACGGAGAAGGAGAGTGCTGTTACACCCAGTAACGTAATGGATACATCGGAAAGAAGTATGGCAGCGACAACAATGTACGAGAGTAACGTCAGCTTAGGAACTGGCCGGAAAATAGAATATGATAAAAATGGACAGGTAATTGAAAGTGCGACGGAAAGCACAAGAATTGAGACTACTCCTATGATGTCCGCGACAGGAAAAGATATTGCAAGTGGCATAGAAGAAACCTCGCCTATGCCTAACGATGTCACCACCACGGAAGATGTCAGACCGGTCACGGAAATGCTGGACGACACGGAACCCATGATAGATTATAGAATATTGTTCACCACGGTTCCATCAAGATCGATATTACTTGATCCGGAATTATCTGAAGAGGCGCTCAGGGTGATACCACTGGAAAAGAGTCAGGAAAGCAAGAAAAAACCAATTGACAATAAGAAGGGATTTGACAAATACAAATACAAAAAAGAAAAAGACCTGAGTCTGGAGGATCAGAATGAAGACAACGTTTTAACGGAAAGGTTCGATCAGACTATACTTTCCCAAACGGAACCATCAACGATTACGACTACCTATCACGAGGAACTACATGACAGTGTGGTAAGCTCGGACATAGACCCGAATGTACCCAGGTTCACCGTGGCTGACAAGGAAGGCAACATCGTGCCCATATCGAAATGGAAAGATACAACGGCTAGAAGCGAAAATAAAGATGTGGTTGCAGAGACGAAGCCCAAAAATTATCCTAGCTTTATACCCGTGTCGGAAGAGATAATAGAGTCGGTACCAGTCACAGAGCCCTATGTAATCATGCGAAATTATACTCGTCCCATCATCATAATGAACGATGCGGAAAAAACGGCTGCAAATGAGACGATAGTCGAAGGTCAAACTAATGCAAGAGCAAACGAAACGACTGAGCAAAACGCCACCTTTTTTTCGGATCAAGTATTCAGCGACCACGAAGAAGCGAAAGTAGATCACGTTACGGAAGAGTCGACTACGCAAACTTCAACATTGGAGGTGGAAATCGAGAATACCACCGCTAGCAGTCCTTCGGAATTTCCGTTTCCTGGAAATTTTTCGAAATGCTCCACAGGTCAATTTCAATGCGTTAATGGAACGTCTAGGAATGGTGCGTATTGCATACCACAGTCCGCCAAATGCGACTCCGAAAATGATTGTTCCGACGGCTCGGATGAGTGGAACTGCACAGCAGAAGGTTGTTCGAGTAACTTCCGCTGCGCTAATGGACATTGCCTGAAGAGACACCTTGTTTGCAACAAGATCATGGATTGCGACAACGGCAGCGACGAACATAACTGTGAAAATTGGCAGTGCCAGTCTGATGAATTTAAATGCCTAAGCGGTAAGTATTGAATACAGTTGATATGTAAAACGATATGCAAGAGTAGTAATAGAATGATCCCAGTGAACACGAAGTTACATATAACGTACCTGTTAGTTATAATTTTCTACTCAACAATATAACCGTGATATAACACGTGTGTTATGTTACAGTTATATTGTATTATTGAGTGGGAAATTACAACTAACAGATACGTTACATGTAACTTGTGTTCATTGGAATAATAGAAAGTAATAAAGTCTAAATTCTTGATTGTTTAATTGTTAAGACACTTTCAACAGCTGTTTAATTTTGAATGAAATATTAGTAGAATTTTATTACATATATATATATATATATATACGAAGAGATTTAATAAATCTTGAGCATATCGCTAACGAATAATAAAATTTAATTATATCACAATGATTGAGATATTTTAAATAATAATCCTTATCAGAATCACGATAGAATTATGAAATTTTACGATCGTAGGAAGATGCATTCCGGGATTATGGCGGTGCGATGGTCGGCCCGATTGCGAAGAACATCAGGACGAGTACAATTGCGCGGAAACTTGCGGGAACAATGAGTATCTGTGCCCAACGGAAAAATGGTGTATCCCACAAGCGTGGCATTGCAACGGAGTTGCCGATTGCATTAATGGGGAAGACGAAAAGTTATGCGACTGTGCCCTAGATCAATTCAAGTGTCAAACCGGTGGATGCATCCCCCGGAACAAAGTCTGCGACGGCATCGAGAACTGTCCGGATTATTCGGACGAATGGAGTTGCCTAATCGCCAATATTACTGGGGATCGAAATCTCACTAACGCGGAAACGGATAGCAACACGGCGAGCGAAGCGAATCGCGTGCCATTTTTGAAGATAAGGTATTTAGATCGTACCAAATAAATATAATAAATCAATTGTTTATCTTTCTGATTTCTGAATTATCGTTATCAATTCGAAACCACGAATCAATAACGTACTATTTTAGGCGATTTTTAGCGTGCTTCTAGTATAGCAACCAAAAGCAACCGCGGTTGGGGCTATCTTTGTCTTCTGATCCCTGAAAACGAAGCCTTAGTCGCGGTTGCTTTTGGTCGCTATACTAAAAGCATGCCAAAAATCACCTTTTATTAAAGAAAGAAAAAAAATAGTTCAATAAAATGTGCAAGCCTCTGCAGTTGTTGGTGCGTAAAGAAGTCAAATCAATAATTGAAACTTAAAATATTATCCAATATATTATATAAAAACGTACAAACGTTTCAATCTTGAATATGGATCCTCTTCAATATAACAGTCAAAAAAGTATAGTATTAAAAAGGTGAATAGGCTGTGATCTCTCTTCCTGACAGCCTCTCATTGTTGAAAGAGTCAAATAATAAGTCTGTTCGCGTTGCATTAAATCCCCAAATATTTTTGCACTTAAAATGAGATATGTAGATATATTTTTAGCCTTCAAAAGAAAGAAAGCGAAGATGCCGAGTGGCAAAAGTGAAAGCAACGCAAACAGACCTAATAAAACGACGATCAAAGTGAAAAAATAAAGCAAGAAGAGAGATTACGCCTTCCAAAGTGATGTAAAACCCCAAGTAGCACACAGCACCTACATGACGTTAAAAAAGTGTATATAAGCGCTTTTATAGCACTTTGCAGGCGCTGCTATGCTACTTGAGATGTAACAAGAAAAAATAGTTATAAATAGTCATTTTAAAAAATCTTAATACTTTTCACAAAATGAATTAATAAGTGTATTAATAAGTATAATTTTTTAAAATTATAAAGACGTATGCTTATACGAGCGTCGTTTGAAAAATTTTGAGTCTCAACATGAAGATGGCATTTATACTCGTCAAAACTATTCTGGTATACATGCTTTGAAAGATATCTGTGAAAATTGTAGCCATTACGCTCAGTTGTTGTTCTACAGTCATTTGTGCCTGTAGCCATTATGGACGCTCAGTTGTTGTTCTACAATCATTTGTGCTAGTCGATGTAAGCGATTTTGTAAAAATGGGAAAAATCGAATATACATTTTCAAGGCTCTGTTGGAGCGGTTTAAGCGAAACGAGTCGGATTTTTTGCGTCGATTAATAACTGTTGATAAAACTTGGATCTACTATTTCACTCCTGAGACGAAGGAACGGTCAAAACAATGGATTACATCCATAGAAGCCTATTTTGCAGAGCAAAACGCCAACTATTATTTGAATAAATTAAAGGGATGGGAGCATCGCTGGGAAAAGTGTATCGATTTAAAAGGAGATTATGTTGAAAAATAAAACTGAATTTGACCGAAAAAATACTTGTTTCTATGTTAGGCTCAAAACTTCAAACGACCGTCGCATAAATAAACAAAAGTTCTTTAAAATGTTGGAAAACAATGAAAATAAATATTCTAAAAATTAATAATAAGTATTCCATACTGCTTTGCAATATAAAAGAGATATAAAATTTCTATCCAGACAATATGACGGCGACTATCAACTAGTCTGCTCGGACGGGTGGAGCGAAGAATTTAGCGATTCCTATTGTCAAGCTTTGGGATTCGCCGGATCTGACGAGACACTCGAATCATTCGCGTGGGATAGAAGCCAGAAAATCCTAAGACTGAAGACAAATCCTAATTATCGCCTGCCGCTAGTCACGAACTTAGAGGAAGTGGGATTCTGCGTCTCAGACAAGGTCATGCAAGTGTCGTGTCAGGAATTCACTTGTGGTCTGCATTATGCAGAGGAATCGACCGCAAGATTGACAGATCCTCCTGAGCGATGGTCTAGTACGGCCTTGTTGAAGAAATCAGAAGAAGGGACCGTTTGTACAGCCAGTATAATCGGCCCTATGCACGCTCTAACTAGTTATTCCTGCATCTATAGGTAATTTTATACAGAAATGACTGTACGAATTTATTTACAAAGAGCAGATAAATCATAAAAGATTAAAAATGCGTAACGTTTTCTTAATCCTTGACGTAAAAAAATTTTTATAAAAAATACAGAAAAATTACATAGATTGACACAAGATATCTTGGAAATTCTTAATTTTTCGTAGATATTCGTAGTAAGACATAAATGAGATTTGTCTGTCTTAGGCCGGAATCAGATTACACATTGAAGATTGAGATTGAAGATTGAAACATTGAAATTTGACCAATCAAAACAATAAGAGTGAAAATTCCTTTGTCCTCATTGGTCAAATCTTCAATCTTCAATCTCAATCTTTAATGTGGTGTAGTCTGATTCTGACTTTAAAAATTCTTAGTTTTTCTTAGATATTCATAATTGGACGTAGAGTGGCGTTGTTTGAGGGCAGAGGATTTCTTGGTTTTTCAAACAAACGATGCCACTCTACGTCTCATTATGAATATATATACAATATAAAAAACTAAAAATTTGTGAGATATTGTCTCAATTTACGCAGTTTTTCGTACAAATTTTTCCGCCAGGAATCTTATCATTTTATTTCGATTTATAAAATAGAACATTTCATTTTTAACATAATATGTAACACATTATTGTTAATATAATTTTTTACACTTGATCCAGTAGACACAAGGAAAACAATGGATGGCAGCTTTTCACCAATGGAAATATGTTAAAAGAAAACGCCGTTAAAAATATCATCCCCTATCCTCGAGTGAAATATAATCAGTTCCTGTACAATAACGACATCGCTCTAATCGAATTAAGAGAGCCGTTGGTATTTTCCAGAAACGTTAGCGCCATATGTCTTCCTAGACAGCCTATCCAGGTATACTTTCGATTAAATTTTCTGATAAGGCTATGCATAGCTAATTGTTGTTTAATTAACACATTCCTGATCTCTATATAACGTGATGATTTTTCAGTCGGAACAGATTTGCGTAACGGTAGGATGGGCATTCCCTAGGAACGGGGAAATGAATTTACAACAATATCTCAAATTCATACCTCTTCCGTTTAATGATTCCGATAAGTGTAACGCCACGAGTCATTATGCAGGATTCATCACGAAATACGATATATGCATGGATAAAATCCCTTGTTACGTAAGTTTGGCAAAAAATGCAATATTCACATTTCTATAATTATTTTAAAGAAATAATAAAACTTTTAAGACACTTCTGCGAATATATTCATCTCTTTAAATAATTGTATTCAATTAATTTTCATTGTAATTATAAAATATGCACCATTATATATATATATATATCACATAAATCGTAAATAAGCAAAAAGTTTAACTTCAAAAATTAATTGAAAAATATATGCAATATTAACAAATTATTAAAAACGTAATATTAATGCATTGAGAAATTACATATTAATGATAAATCAATTTGTTTTTAGAATGACGAAGGAACGCCACTGATGTGTGCCAGTGAATCGCAGGGTGCTCCGGGAAGATGGGAAATCCAGGGATTACTAAGTCATCGTAAAGAATGCTTGGGAAGTCATCCAACAATTTACTCGAGTTTGGAACCAGCGCTCCCGTGGTTGCGCGAAACAGTGCCAGCTTTGCAGACGCAAAGCTAAATCATTGTCATAACAATTTATCGAAGATAAAGAAGCCGGTACTTCATCTTAGACAAGAGAATCACAGTTTTAATAAGAAAAAAATTGTAATTCTATATACAGTAAAACTATGACAGAAGAAAAATTCGAATAGATCCCTAATTTTCTTTGTGCTTAAAAGTCCGTATTCATTTACTTTCGCGTCTCTTCTCTTTTTCCAATTTTAATGTTCCTATTGATAGCACGAAAGGTATTTTAATAATTCTCGAATATCGCAACAGCGATGAGTTATCATAAGAAAAACTTAAGTGCCTTTATTGTTACACGACAGATCGCAGGGAGAGCGAAAAACTCTTCGAGAATTATGACATTCGTAATGTACGAGAATTATGACACTTGTAATGAAAATCAAAGACAAAATTATACCGACTTATAATTAAGGAATCATTATGTAAATATTGTATAAAGTAATTGTTTATTATGGATAATGTGGTATAAGAATTTATTAGTTTAACGGGTCTCTTAAAGATACTCTTTCTACATTCTTGCATTCAAAATTACTACTTATTGCTATTTACACAAAATTATTGCCCCACTTGAATTAAAAAATAATTTTTGTGATATATTTTGGATATTTCCAGTACACCTTATATACATCAATTAATAAGATATAAGGATACCTATCCAATTATTTAATATGAGAGACCGATACATATGCATGTCCGATTACATACGAATCAATAGTTTGTCTCAGAGATCCTAAATAAGGATTTCTGAAATGAACAATGGATACAATTAAGCAATAGATAGGATAAATGTATATAATATATAACTATTTTTTAAAATACATTGTTATAGATTAAACAACAAAGTATGTTTACATATATACGTAGTCATTGATGTGAATGCGTATTTTTATATATTTCGAGTAAAAATGATAAATAAATGTATTTTAAACAATCCTGATATTTTCTTTCATCACGGACCAATCGCTTTTAAAATCCTTCTCTATAATAAATAAGTTAAAAGATAAACGATAAAAATGATTTTGCACTATAAAAAAATCGAAGCAACAACTTGTATTAAAACATAATATAAATTAATCGATATTTAAATAAACCGAACAATTATCTCGTTAATCATCTGTCTGTTTCTTCGGCTTAGCTGCTACTTCTGCAGCTGTAATTGCATTATCTAAAATAATTAATGATTCCGATATACTATTTATAACTGCGTTATATTTAGACAGCAGATCATGTACATGAGCATCCAACTCTTTGGAATCTTCGTAAGCTTCGAGATACGACAGTGACAATTTGTTAAGTGTATTATTTAATTCAGGCGCATCTTTGATACGCTCTGATTCTAACACAGGCATGAGTTCCTGCACTTTGTTTATCATATTGTAGTTTTCCATAATCTCTGGCTCCATTGTCAACAACAGCTGTGCTTTGGCGCTCATGGGTATATCAACGTCTTCACAAGTAGGCTCCAAGTAGCCATTTAACTCCGGCAAACGTTTGATAAGCGCGTTCGGTTTTTCTCTGCCTGACAATGCCGAGCTGATTAATGAATTGACGTCTGTGAGTCGATCGATAATAGCGTTTGGTGGTGCAGGATCATCGATATTCATCATCTTGCCAAGTCCATACACTTGTTTCTCTAAATTAGCAATTCTGTCTTCTAGCAACTTGACAGATGACATTTCGAGAGCTAAAATACAAAAGCATGGACCCTTGTACAAATCACCATTAAAGATCTATAATTAGAGCTCTTTGCTTCCTGTTTCTTGTTTTTTATCACTTCTTATCTAATCTACAATGTACTCCTTGCTTCTTGTTTCTTGCTTTTTATTTCTTGCTCTTTTCTTCCTTTTTATGATTTTTTTACACTTCAATTTGATTTCTTGTCATATGTTTCTTGTCTCTTCAAAAATTCGTCAACTTTCATGTTTATCTCATGCAACAGAAAATGAAGAAATAGGATAATAAACAAAAAAAAACAAGAACTAAAAGGTGGTAAAAAGCAAGAGACAGGAAGTAAAAAGATTAAACATGGTAGATTAGACTTTCATACCTTGCCTCTTAAACTGTTTCTTTGTTTTTTGTTGCTTTGAAAGAAAACATTGAAAGAGATAAGAAACACGTGATAACACGATTGTGAATAAAATCAACAAACAAAGAAGAAAAAAAGCAAAAAACAGGAAGCAAAGAGCACATTATAGATTAGATGCTTCAAAATACTATAGACAAATGAGTCAGAAGATGCATGTACGAGTCAATTATTCCGATCTTTATTACCCTTAAAATTTATCTCTGCAATTTATGCAAACAATTAAAATAGCACTCCTTGTTAATTAATTAAATTTGTTTAAAAAACTAAATTGCATTAATGTGATCGTTCACTGATAGCATATATTTACACAGTTTTAATGTATACAGAGTAAAATCTTCCTCGGAGAGGATGTTTTGGAATGTAGCCTCAGCAAACAGCTATTTTCAATAAACGGTCAATCAGCAAAGAACATAAAAAATTTAACTTACGGAAAATTCCTATAAATTACACAATATGTAATACATATAATATTGTCGATAACTGAACCACTTACTTGTCGGCAAAAATCCAAGTAAAACAAAGCCAGAGTAAATTTGACAGAAGTCAACAAAGGTTGGAGGTTATTTTGACGCGTGGGTGGGGAAACTAGTAAGACATAGGGAAAAATATTGGAAAGAGTATTGGTAAGTCACTAGTCGGAGAAACGGCATTCTGGTGATATCGCCGTTTTTCCCACAGTGATCCCAGTTGCTCTCCTAACTTTCTCTCTGCTTCGGGCCGCTTCCGGGCTGCTCCGAGAGTTGGCTATCTATTTTCTCAGGTGATCCGTGCCGCCACGCCAGCCAATCGCGCTCGAAGAAACCGTTACGAGTTTCCGTTGTGTATGCGTGTTTGAACGATCTAGTGCACATTTGTCATCTGCGTGCTGTGAACCACTCCCGTGTGCGGTGTTACCCGTGTTTTCGCGATCCTCGGGGTAAGTTGTGCACGGAATTCGTGGCGAACTGCGCCCTTGCGAGGTACGCGACCGAAGGAGGCGGATCAACGAGCGGGCGACGACGGTGGCAGGTCGCACGAGGTCACCCGAGCGGCGATCGCGTGCACCGAAATCGCGAGAATAAAGAATGCCGAATATGTCGACCCCGACAGTTTCGTTAGCAAAAAAAAAAAAGCGAATGGAATGCCGTCCGTCCCGGGATCTCCTAGAGTTCGCTCGTATTATTCGAGATCCCGCCCGTTGACTTTATTTATATCGGACAACGCGCCGAATTGCAATTTGCATGCAATCGCGATTTTAACATTCCTCTAGGGACTGATAATAAATCGTGATAACCTGCTCCTATGTTCATTTCTATACCAGTGTAGATTAACTTTAATCTCGGTCTAACTTACCTTTTATCTCCTTTTAGTTTCAAGGAACAGGAAAAGATAAAAAAAATATAAGTGAAACCGAGATTAGAGTTAATCTACATTGGTAAAATGGACATCAGAACTTACGACTGATTATGGCTCGTTGCTATGCTAGCGTCTTGTTATTAAGTCGCTTGGGATTGCTAAAATATGCTAATACTTCAACACCTAATCTATTCTATTCCTTCCAGTTAAAGCAAACGGAGCAACATGGCTGTTAACGTGTACGCTACAAACATGACGTCGGACAATCTCAGTCGCCACGACATGCTGGCGTGGGTGAACGACTGTCTGCAATCTTCGTTTACCAAGATCGAAGAGCTCTGCACTGGAGCAGTCTATTGTCAGTTCATGGACATGCTCTTCCCAGGCAGTGTACCTTTGAAAAGGGTCAAGTTCAAGACCAATCTGGAACACGAGTATATACAGAATTTCAAAATTCTCCAAGGTGGCTTCAAAAAGATGAATGTGGATAAGGTAAGAAACTTTTGCTTTCTCTTCCCGTTAGCTCTGACAAAATTGCTTTAAAAACAGTAAATAGGTTTGTTCACGTTGCTTGTTCTTATTGTACTTAGCGTCTTCGCTTTCTCTCTCCTCAATGCCTTAACTTATATTTATCTCATTTTGAATACAAACATTTTGAGAGATTTTAAGCAACGCGAACAGACCTAATATGTGACAAGAGACTTATCCATAAGAATAATTTTTATCCATAAAATGATTAAAATCCATAAAGATGATTTTAGACAAATATATAAAAGGTAAGCCGTTGCGATACGCGCGATATAAACTGCGATGTTACTTCAAGATCGCATTGCCCCGCATGTAATAGCATAACTTTGTGCGAGGCTGGATGAAATCATAATGATACGACCATGGAAATGGTTCAGGTAATACCAGTGGACAAGCTGATAAAAGGACGCTTTCAAGATAACTTTGAGTTTCTACAGTGGTTCAAAAAGTTTTTTGACGCAAATTACGACGGACGTGAATATGACGCTTACGACGCGCGCGGCTGCATACCGCTAGGTTCTGGCGTGGACGGAACGCACACTTTATCGAATCCCCAGTTGGTACCTTTGCCACCACAATCGAAACAGCCGCAAATGCAACAAAGACATATACAGCAACGTACCATCGTCCCGCGGCAGCAACAGGGTATTGTTGCAGTCTCGATTTTACATGGCTGCTTCTTGCATGTGTTGTATGTTTAGATAATGATATTTTGCAAGAGCGACACTACACGTGTACAAGCACATGCACATGCAATTTATAGTGCAATATTATATCTCAATTTATTTGAGCCACGTTATTTTAAATCTGTGTGCATAAACATGTTACAAGCTATTTTTACAATGTTACATGCAAACACGCATACTTCACGTTACATGCACTCTTTAGTTTTACATGTCATTCAGATTTGAAAATCTAATGCAGAAATCAGTCTAGTCAATAGAAGCTGTATAGAGAAATATGTTACGTATATTTTAATGTATATATAAATTATCTATTGATGTATAATGTTAAAATAATTCTCATATATATATATACATATATATATATATATAAGGTAAATCTTAATAGTTATACTAACGTTTTATCATGAGAAATGAATATTTTACTCTCTTAGGTGTAGTCCTTTATGCTCTTTTCAGCTGCAGTCGGTAATTCATCTCCCATGGTAAAACGTTGGTACAGTTATTAATATTCACCCTATAGATTATAGCTGATATTCATTCAGGGCGGTATTCGTAGTCCGTTCTTATTTCGAGACTGTCCTAAGTAATGCCTCAAGACGCTAATACGATCCTCTGATTGGTTCGTGACTTCTTAAGGGCCTTAGCAGAAAGCTGACTTATAATCTTAAGACAGTGTCTTATGACTTAAGTCTTATGTCTATAGTAATGCACAAGAACTGTCTTATGACTTAGGTTTTAAAAGCACCTCGTATTTATACACCTTTTAAGACATAAGTCATAAGATAGTTCTTATGTCTTATAGATTATAAGTCAGCCTTTCTGCTACGGTCCTAAGACTGTACTTAAGATAATCTTGAATATAAGATCTGACTATGAATACCGGCCATAGTCTATTCTTATTGCAAGACTGTCTTAAGTAATGTCTTAAAACGGTTCTCTGGTTCATGACATCTTGAGACTGTACTTAAAACAGTCTTAAATATAAGAATCAATTATAAGAATACTAGTTTATGTATGATATATAGATAATAGATGTATACATAGATTAGGATGTTAATTGTTTCACGTTTTATCCTGATTTTGTACAGAGCGATAGGAAGAGTTCCAGTAGTGTTTATTTTAAATAATATCTTAAGGGAATTATTTTCTAATATTAAAATCGATTAATTTTAATATAGAACCGTGTTCATTTGAGATTCGTTTATATATAATTTTGTTTTATTTTCTTTTGTTGCACACGTCTTCCACTCCTCCTTTGCAGATTGTGCCAATAGATAGGCTGGTGAAAGGCAGGTTCCAAGACAACTTTGAGTTTTTGCAATGGTTCAAGAAATTCTTTGATGCAAACTACTCGGGAGCAGATCCGTATGATGCGCTTGCTATGCGAGGAGGAGAGCCTATGGGTAGTGGCGGAAGTAATGCACCACGTGGTGGTTCTAACGTGAAACGTACTTCTCCACGCGACACAATAAGTTCGACTAAACCGGCTCCTCGTACTACTGGTACATCATTTAATAACTTTACTCTTTGATGCAAAAAATTTTGAATTTTAACAATCATTAAAAAGAATGAAATCTCATAATATGAAGAGAGAATAGGTTTTTTTACAAATACAATTTGAAACTTGTACGTTAACACAGATTTTGTACTAATCAATAATTGATATTGACTTGATTGGTTGATTATCCTTTGATACATGAAAATCTGGCTGATCTTATATAGCAGGCAAGGTAAATATAGAATAAATACCAAGTCAGTAGGGGGATTAAACGATCTAACAAATCTATCCTGTAATTTTATAATAAGGGATCCATGATATCAATTGACATACTTCTCCTTGTTAAATATTTCAACAGGAGTTTCAATTATGGGTTATTGCATAATATCCCTCAATAACTTGAAATAAAATTTGCCTTTAGGTGAGGGACATCCATCTACCATGCGTGCAGATAGTACAAACTCTTTAGGTGAAATTTAATATCTCTTTTTGTTTTTAACTCTCGTTACTTGTATTTTGCTTCTCTAGCTCCGTATATGTTTTAATACTGAGGTATATGAGGAAAGTATAGAGTAAATTATGTGTGTGTAGTTTTTGTATTCATTGATCAAAATATTTGAATGAGTTTTATTAATACTGATTATCGCAGTTTATGAAAAAATGGTTATTAAGATAGGAAAATTTGGAAAGTGACACATAACTAAGAATGAGATGTGTAATTACAATATATTGTTCCCTCACTCTGATACAAGTACTATAATTTCCACTAATTTATAATAATCGTCTATGTCACTACTATTTTATAATGATTGTCACTATCAAAATTTACACTATATTATTATACAAGTTAATAAGAGAGGATCACATTTCTTAGCACTTGCCTTGCAATTTTCTTTTATTATAAGATATAAAGATTTTATTTCTATATACATATATTTCTGTAAAATTTATTTATTACGATTGTAAAATACACATATCGTGCATGATTTTGAACTGTATTTCTGCATGCCTTGTTTTGCTTGCACAAAATAGCTTGTATATTTTTATATATTTAAGTAGCTTTGGTAATTTTTAAACAAATCACAAAAAAATATTCTAATTTATGTTACAGAAATATAAATACTTACTTATGATTTTAAGGTAGTATTTTAAAATAATGTATTTTTATTCTTTATCTAGTAAATAAAGTTCAGCAGCCGTACCGTGCGCCTCCCAAAAACACAGTTGGCAATCGTGGTGATAACGGAAAAATTGAGGAACTTAGTGCGCAGGTATTGTATAATATCATATTTTATTCAATAGACATTTATAACAATAAATATTTTTTTATGTACCTTTCAACAAAAATTAATGAAATATGTACAAAACAATAAAGTTGGAGTCTTTAGTTCAACTAATTGTCATTGCTTTTATCGTTTAATGAAATATTTTAGTTGGTTGAACTGAAAATGTCAGTCGAAGGTCTGGAAAAGGAGAGAGATTTCTATTTTGGAAAATTACGTGACATAGAAGTCATGTGCCAAGACTGCGACAATGGCGGTGATCCTCCACCTATTGTACAGAAAATTTTAGAAGTCCTTTATGCAACAGAGGTAATTTATATAATTATTCTGCAATTCTAAGAATTCACTCGAATAAATGTTTTTATTTTCTATTCATCTTTTTTCAGGATGGTTTTGCACCACCTGAGGAATTGGAAGGTGACGGACTTGCGCCTGATGACGAGGAGGAATATTAACCTTTTTTATTTACGGATGTAATCGAAATGAACAACAGCAAATTATCCAAGTGCGTTTCAGTTTATCATGCCTGTGAGCCAGTATCATTACCCCTTGCATAATTATTACATAAGCTGTTTTACATGAGCAAATTCAACAGTTTTTGCGCGGATTGTGCATACATTTTGTTAATAAAGTTCACTGAAATCATTAAGATTCGCACAACATTAGAATAGACTTAAGTTGAGTAGTGCACTTGAATAACTTGTTCTTTATTGGCCGTTGCTAAAAGAGGGAAAGAAATGGAGAAAATTAGAGGAAGAAAATCAACTAGTAATCTATCACAAATTATTGCAATTCCTTATAGCGTTAAAATGGTAGAGTTCCGAAGATCAATGGCTCTCGAATTGCCTCAAAAATTTATGTAGATACCGATGCCTATTAATGTTATCTGCATCCGTACTGTTACGTAGCGACTTACGTTAACTACACATTTTTTTAATGCGTGAGTGTTTTGTTTGTAATTGTATTAAGTTTGATCGATAATGAATCACGAAGCCCCCATCAACAATTTTGCCTTTTGAAATCTATTTATAGTCATCTAAAATGTTAGTCCTATTGAGGAGTTCAAACAAAAGCTGCTCAATTTGTTCCAGTCGTTTTCTATGTGCAATATGGCCCATGCATTCAATAGTTTCGTGTGAAACAATAGATTTTCATCGTCAGCAAAATAATTTGGATATACATAATATTAATAATTAAAATTCAATTCTGCTTTGATATTCTATCTGCGTCTTATCAACATAGAAACTACTGCATAACATATTTGTAAGAACATAAACACCACGTGCATATAGTCCAGATATTTTGATTTCAATAAATTAAACAGTGTGCGCTTCGTGAAGGCAGATTGCGAGACAAAATGGTACGCTTATGCACTCGATTACTGACTTACAAAGATATGAAAAACTTAAAGTTAGAGCTGATATTGAAAGATTCATCTATTAATGTTTACCCCGTACAAATCGATTTTAGAAAAGAACCGATCATGTTTGCATCTCCATGACAGTCTCTCGAGATATAAAATGGCCTTAAAACGCGGTGAATTTGAGAGAGAGAGAGAGAGAGAAGTATACTCAGAATCGCACGAATAAACGCGAAATGTTTTTTTCAATTATATCGTACAGGCACCGTCAATTATGGCGCTGCTATCTCATTTTCGTAAAAAAAGTTTGTAAAATCTACGTTCCGAGAACGGACGAATGAGAGGGACAACGAGTGAAAGGGTTACGGCATGTAGACGTTTTGCGAACGCTTACGTGTTTTTGACATGTGTGTGTGTGCTTTCAATATTATATTGGTTTTGACAGTCGAGATCAACATTGGATTGTAAATGCGTCATAATCGAATTAATTTAAGCGAGAAGCGTCGATTATCGTGACATAATTGTCTAGAATGTAATTTGCATTACGTGCTACGTCTTTAATAAGTTCCAGCAAAGAAGAATACAGTTTAGCTTGCGCTCTGTTCATCGCTCTGTATGCGCGCATATGTGCTTCAAAATTTAAAATTTTAATGCCGATATAATAAACGTTTAATAAAATCGACTCGATTGTTTTCGAATCCTCGAATGTATTCGAATATTTCGATATACTTGGTGCGCAGTGAAAATAACCTATGTAATTATAATTTTTTAATTGAAATTCGCGCGAGAGAAGGTCATACGAGAAAGAAAGAGAGAAAAGCCTTGAATAATGCTAAATTACAATCGTGTAATTATCTAGTAGAATTAGAACCGTGTAAGAAACAAAGCTGTCTATCAGATAAATTATCCGTTGTAAAAAATTAATTTTGATGTAGACACATAATGTAATAAATGGGGCATAATTTTTTTTCATATATTATTGCAAGATGTATATTAGGGATATAAAGTATATATGTTAATAGCGATAAACAATTGTAAATCTCATAATTAGTCAAGGAAAAAAATTCATGAAGATGTGCTTCAAAGATTCACGAACAGTACTTGAAAAATTTTAAAATATTGCTAATAATAATAAGTATAAATATATTTTATTTGATAATTTTTCCGAATTAATCAGATGAAAAATTTATGATACTCTTCTGTCAGTAGATTTAAGATGAAGTATCATTTTCTTTTTCTAGCTGCGGCAGATGCATTTCTTCGTACTGTTTTGCTAAAAATGTGTGTTGCATTTTTACTAATTAGTTCGCGTGCAATCCGGCGAGGAGATGCATCATGTTGCAGGCTTGATTCTCTTCTCTGGAGTCTAAGTTCCAAAAATCACTATGGGCCCTTACATATAAGACGCCGCTCACATGCTCTTAATTGTTACGTTACTGTCCGTGAAACTTTTGCTTTCCCAGTTCGCGCTCAACATTTCATAGCATCTCGCAGTCACGAAAGTATCGGCTCCGTTCGCGCGTGCTTGAGTATTCATCAGAAGTACAGCTTCCACAACAATCGCACAGGACACCGTTCCTAAGACACGTGATTGCGACATAGATCACAATTAGCACCGGTAGCAACAATAGTTCTCTATTCAGTCTTTGTATTTGCAACAAGAGGTAATTAGAGTTAAAGTTTAAAGACAGACAGATTGCGAAAATCGTGCTTTGTATTCCCTGAAGAAACTTATCGGTAACTGGTGGAAAAGTTCTCTATTATTCTGTGCTTTAAACAGATTGTTATGCAATGTATTGAGAAAGATTATATGTACCAATTTTTATATAACTGAAAAAATCGATTATTTAATTAAGATTTTCCGTGATTTGATAAATAGCATTGAAATCAACTGGAGATTTATGTATTGACCGGTGTGTGATGCTATTTCAAAATCTGTCCTTCTGATCCAAACATTATAAACATTTGACCGAATTATCCAGTAGAATCAACGATATGTTAGATTTTAACAAATAATGCTTTGGAAACGAATTTCATCGAGTCGGTCAATTTATCAACGGAGAAGAAATAAATTTGCACCTACACGATTAATTTTTATCTTTACTACTTGTTTCTCTCTTAATTGTTGCGTTTGCAAGAAAATTCGTCACTGTTATCAATTAATCATCAAATAATATAAACTTTAATGCAATAAGAGAATGCCTTAAAAGATGTTTATAAATAATTTATTGTCGAATAATTTTTGCATAATTTTTTCTTCTAAAAATACGCTGTTTATAGGGTACACTTCGAAGAATAATAATCAATTTTATGCTGTTATACATAATTTATAACAATCGGGATAGCTCTGTCCAAAGCTCTATTGAAATAGCACAGCTTCACATTCTCTCCGATTACTCACGTATGTGCGGACACATTCACTCTTATGTATTGAACGAAAAAATATCACCTTTTTCCGTTATTTGTGTTGACGATAGGCTTTGACGGTCAAGAAGACTGCTACACAAATCAAACGAAAACACGATAAGTGTTGAAAGAGACAAACATTACGATAACGAAGTGACTCGTATAAATGAGTTAGTAAAACGGTAGTAATCGGATTAGATTTTTATTAGACAGTACACAGACAATTCTTAGTTATCTTTCGGCACATGTAATGTAAACTTACTGTTGCTTAAGATACTATTCAACCATACTCTTCTGTTTAAATTAAGGAGAATACAACCAAAGCAAATTTCATGAACACTAAAAAATGTTACATTACTAATAATGTTTCTAATTTTTAAATTTTGCCCTCTAATCTCTCAACATTAAAAATTAGCTTTAAATTAAGAAGCGCCATAACGGTCAGAACGTTAAGATGTTGAACTATTGTAAATTCATTTAAATGAATTAATTTCAGAAATTATAATTGCGTGCTGATATGGTTGTCGGACTTTCAACGCAATCAAATCTGAAAATATTAATAATCCCCCCAAATTTCCCAACTTAAAAACTGTAATAAACTTATTGCGAAAAATAATGCCTCGGCCGGGAGTTAAATTAAAAATTAGAGCGAAAATAACTTCGAAAAATTATAATTGCGTCTATTAATATTGACACTTCGCTAATCTAAAGTATTCTAAAGTTGAAATTATGTTACATCACATTAATTAATTTAAAAATTTAATTATCGGTCAATCAATTAAATTATTATATCCATTAATAAATCCATTTAATTATTTTATATCCATTAGTCAATCCACACACAATAAATTTTATATTATAAAGATTCGATACAGAATTCAGAACAAATTGAAATTACGCAATTAAATACATCAACACGTTTGTTTTAACGCACACATAACTTCCTAAATGCTTTCACCATGTGTCGCGACAAATTATTCTATAATAATCTATTAATATCGCGATGAGTCCATTTAACATTCATTTGACATGCGAGAGGAAAACAATTAAATTGTTATTATCTGTTAAATTATAAAGTTTTGTATTCGGGAAAATTTTCTTTGATAAAACTCAGTAATTTTGTATTTGTACATCATGTATCATTACGATGACCATATTTTCTTAAAGAAAATAAAGGACAAATCTGAAAATTTTAGGGCTTTGTCCCTACATATTTTTAAACCAGTTCTTTAATTGTCAAAAATTTGTGCATTATAACATTTTATTGCACAGTATAATTAAATAGAGATTTAAATAGAGACAGTTTTCTGATAGTTTGAAACTGGTTCGACTGTATTGGAACAAACCTTTGATTTGAAATAATAAAAGGTTCGAAATAATAAAAAATGAAAACAACTCTAGTTTAAATAAATTTAATTTAAAAAATTAAATTAGCGAAATCAGATGGTATTTATTGATGTAATATATTTCTCGAAATCTTCAACAACCAAAGGTTGACTCCTATAGCCTTTTTACGAATTTTTGTCTTTGTTGTGTGATATTAAAAAATTAAGAAATATAATATTTTCCGTAAAAATTTGCTCATTAATATAATATTATAGACTAGTCAGAAAAGAATTTCTCAAATTAATGTCAAAATAAAGGACAGTAAAGGACAATATTGGAAAATAAAGGACAAAATTGAATTTTGAAGAAACAAATCTTACAGACTTGTCCCTTCTGTTGTCCAGAAGAATTATAAACTGGTTCATCTAGTTCACGTAAAAGATTCGTTCATTTTACCCGTTCGTTCGCGAACTACCCATCTCAATTCGCGACACTATTTTCTCCGTAGCTCCGTCGAATGAACGGGTCGACGTTTTCGATTGTGGCATTACAAAGTCGCTCGTTTGTAGAATTACAAAGTCGCTCGTTTGTAGAAGCCTTAATAGCCATTCTGCGATGTGTTCTTTGTTTCTTGTTTCTTGCTGTTTGTCTCTTGCCTTTTGGTTAAAGGCAAGAGACAAACAGCAAGAAACAGGAAACAAAGAGCACATTGTAGAACAACCATTAAGTGAACCGTTTATCATTATCCTTTTGGATCGGTTCGAGGTTGCCGGTGCATTGCATTCCGATTTTACGATTTATCCAATTTGAAAGACCATCGGTGGCCTAGTACCAACCAGGTTGCAGAGCTAATAATTAAAAAGAAAGAAGAAGAAGAAGTCTTTCTAGGCATTGATTTAATTCCTATATGGCCACGGCAAGTTCATCAAACAAAGTAAGCATTTCAAAATTATATCGGTTAAGAAATACATCCGGATAAACGTCCGATTGATCGAGTAAATTATTGTTCACTCGTGTCGTTAGGCAGTCGACGAGACGCCGCAAGAGGATTGTATTTGGATAGAATTCAGATTGTTGCAATCAATTATGTTGCGAAGCAAATTGGGTCAGACAATGCTGAAACTTACGGATTATTTTCTATGGATCCTAGAGAAATGTACGGAATGGAGTTTGCCTAGACAGAATATCGAAGGTACGATTTACGAATCAATATTTTTATCATCGTTTTACCAATAAAACGATGAAAAAATATGTACTTTTCTCGACGACTGAATTGGATCGATATTTCAGATGAGAAAGACTCAGAAAAAACGGAACTCGTGAGACCATTGCCATGGCTTTTATTCTTACCGAGCTTAATGATATTGCGCATAATCAGATTGATAGTAAATATAGGTGCTTCCTTGTTGAATTATCCTATGATCACGCCAAGTAAAATGGTACGTCCATCTTTACAGTTTAATATTAATATTGCTTAATAAAAACTGTGTTAGTTACAAAAGGAAATAATCAACAAAAACACACCGTAAAAAGTGCAGTGTTTAAGTTGTTTTTTTGCAAAACAAACGTTTAATAATAAAAGATATTTCAATTTTAAACGTTTGAAGTATTTTAAATTAAAACACATAGTGTTTTGTTTATTAAAAAAGTTTAATAACTCAAACATCTTTAAGTGTTAAAAAAATAAAGACAATAGTAAAACATTTTAATATCTTAAAATTAAACACTTCTTTTATAAGTGGAAACTTTATAATTAACACATTGATTTTTCCGTTATAAGATGAACATTTTCTCGTAAAAAGTTATTTAACATCGTCTGTTTTATTTCATTCGCGTTCAATTATTTTTTCTTTATTATTCAACTTATTATTATTTATTAAACACTTTTTCGGCAGATAAGGCTCGTGCAAAAAAGTCGTAGATATCTGCATGATGCAATGAAGAAAGACAAGAAAGAGAGGTGTGAGCTCAAGGTAAGATGCGCATTTTTTGCTAGTGAAACGTAGCGAATACACAACTGTAAAGATAATAAAACTAACACAATAATAGTCTCGGTGGTGCGTGTAGGACAAGAGATCGTCAATGTACAAGGGCAAGAAGGCCCTGATCAGATCCATTCGTCTGACTTTATCAAGCTTATCCTGCCTGGATACACCCAAACCCTCTCCGTCACCACCGCCTACTAAAATTTGTATTAGTGTCAACCTCGATCCCGATTCAGTAAGTAAAATGGTATCTTATCCTGTGTAAACATAAATCACCTGTGTTCAATTGTATAATTACTTGAAGATACTACCCAAGCAGAACAACAAGTCATTATGATGTCAAAATGACTCCAAAATGATCATTAAAAGTCATTTTTCGATCGTTTCCGATTCATTTTAATGTCATTTTGACGTTATCGTGACACGTTGTTCTGTTTGGGTATGACCCATCCTTTCTCCGAGTATTTCATTCAAGTGTTTTTTTTACTGATATATCTTTTGTAAATGTCTTTTTCTCTAAATTTCTTGGAGTGAAATTACTCACTTCAGAAGAGTTAAGATACTGCCATTATTGAAAAAGAATGAATACATTTGCTCTCTTGAATAAGAGCGGCAAATTGTTACCCTTTTATTTTTAAGTGAGATTTCACACTTTTGGAATGAGATTCGCTCCAAAAAAGAAGTGAGAATTCTTTTTTTCGGAATGAATCTCGCTCCGAAAGAGTGAAAATTTGCCACTCCTATTCAAGAGTGCAAATATTTTCGCTCTTTTTTAATAGAGGCAGTATTTTCACTCTTTTGAAGTGAGATTTCACTCCAAGAAATTTAGAGAGTTTCTATTTATTGATATCTTTTGACGGATTCTGAGATTAGTTGCTTTCTATTTACACCGATTCTCAGATAATTCTCACTTGTGATATCATAACTCAGTTGAATGAACGTTCCTTTTGCATTCTGACAAGTGAGATACAACTGAAAATTTAAAAGTGAGATTATGAACCCGTGTTGTCATGATAACTTTTTACCAAGGTAAGTGAGTAATGACGTCATTAATCTGAGTATGAAATACTCAGTTCACTTCAGACTCAATTTCACTTGTGTGTAAATGGAAAGCAGCTATTATCGTAAATATGAAATGTGTTCATGATTACTTTATCGTTTTAAGAATTATTCTAGCTACATTAAAATATATAAAAAAATATTCGTTCAAACAACAAAAAATTTCTTTAAGGTAACAACGACATCGGAAGAAAAGTTGAAAGAAAAGTCGGAAGAAAAGTCAGTAACAGAATCAATGGATTCTACATCAACATCAGAACACTCAACGAGCGAATCGGAGAAGCATGAGAAGGAAGAGAAAGAGAAAGAACAGAAGGAGACTCTGAAAGAGAAGATTGATCGACTCGCTTTGGAAAATAGCGAAGACGATGAAAGTTTTAAGGTAAGTTTTATATTTTTATTTTGTTTAATATTCTTTTTATCATTCTGGACAATATCGATATTATCAAATTCATAATCCATTCAAATGACATTTTATGTTCACAATCAATTTACGGATTCGAAGAAAACTCGATGACTTGACCCTTCTTCAATAGATAGCTCGCAGCTTCGACGATATACACTGCTTGTTTTATTTATATTTTTAGTGTTGCACATGTATGTGCTTTTACACGATAGGAAAGATTTATCTGGTCATGTTTTTACTATCGACTTTTCAGCCGGACGAATACTCGTCGAGTGACGTGGACAGTATCGATGATGAGAGCAGCGACGGTAACGTGTCCCCGAATGAGATTCGCGACATCGTTGAAGCGAAGAACACTGTAGCGTTCAAGAAAAAGGTAACCATGGAGCAGTTTTTGGAAGTCGAGCGAACTTCCACGTCGGTGTCTGAACAGAAATCCATCGAGTCGACTTGCGAAAAGGTAAACACCTTCGAATAAGCTTCTTTGGATTGTCTTTATGATCGAAGGTTGAGGAATAAAAGAAGTCGGTTTCCCGATATATGGCTGCCTCGTGTTTACACGGGATTACAGTCTAAACGAGAGAAAGCGCATACACAAGCGAAGTAGGCGCGCAATACCTTTGCGTTTCTTTAATAAATTCTGCCGTATTGTATTTTTTAGCTGTTCCGTCAAACAGAACAAAATACAAACAGCAAAATTTTATATCCGTATATACGAAATTCGCTCTACGCGATTTTTCGCGCGGTATAAGCGAAACGGAATCGAAAGAACGTTGATGACACTTTAGAAATGGAATTCTTCATAATGTGTAAATGTTCAACGAGCTTGTTCAACGTATTTAGAGATCGTCGGCCAAGGAGAGCCGCGATAAGGTAGAAGAGCACTTCGCGACTTCGCAGCGTATCGATTCGTCAGAGTGTTGTACGTCCGACAGATCCAGTCAGGAAGGCGATCTGACCTTCTATTCACCGATCAGCTCTGATTCGGATAGTGACGCGCCGAAGGAACCATCGGTGTCGACCGTCCAACGTAAGTGATTCTCCACGCGACTGCATCTCCTGTGGCTGCGATCTCTCGACTAGCTCCAGAGCTGGCTTTTCGCCTTACTTACGTTCCTTCTACATATGCTTGTGCCTTCACCGCATGTGCATTCGCTTTCGTTCATACATCGCTTTCAAGTAACATTTGAGCTATTGCTTCATTTAAACACATATAATGAGTATGTGCATTAAATTGTTGCATCGATAGATTGTTACTTAATAATTAATATGTGTGTGTGTGTGTGTGATCATTATTGACGATTAAATCGTAAAATATGGAATAAACATCTACACTCTACGAGGCTGCTTATTTTACATGTATTATTAGGGTGCGTCCAGATTGTCGAGCTGAAACTCGAGCCGTGAGGTTCACTTCGGTAAACATTATTGTTACGCGATTCGGCAAGAAACAATTGAAGTTCGGATCAAGTTTCGGCTCGATAGTCTGACCACAGATAACCACCCTTCTGTTTACGATACACGTGTTATATATATTATATGCGATAAATAATTCTCTATTTTATTCTAATTTATTGTGAATTATATTTTATATTTTATGTGCGATTACATGTGATATTAATTTTCGACATACTGAGAGGGACACGTTTTCATTTTTAAAAACGATGTGGTTATTGTTGTTACATTATTTAAATTATTTTATCCGTTTCCTCAACATTAACGATCGTAAAGTATAACACACTTAAGTCGTTTATGTTGAAGGTTAATTTTGTAATACGACTTTAGAAAGTAATACTATTTTCCGGCACCATTCGAAATGTTTATGTGAAAAAAAATTGTTTTGTACATTGGTTGTGTTTATCTAATCAACTGTTTTCTGCAAATTACTTAAAGAAACTTAAATAACTATACAAATAAAATAGATTTAATTATAATTGCACAACCGATTTGATACTTAGAGAACTTTGTATAAAATACATATATGATTAGCACCAACAGAAACATTGTAATTACATTTTTGGAAACATTTCGTAATAGTTTTTAGCGTCTTTGCACGTCTTAATACAACTGGACTTTCTAATTATTTATAATTGTTGCTAATCCTTCCATGAAAGGAATTATACTCCTCTTTATATTATATTGTTTGCGTTTAAACGTTTAAAATATTGGTAATTATTTAAGATATTTCCAGGAGAAGTAATCCGTTAGAATTAAATCTCGCGATTTTGTTATCCACTTAATTGGACACAAATCGAATTCATTAATTTCAATACGTTCATTTACGTTTTAGATTCCATTGCGACTTGTTGAACAAGTAAAATATGATATGTAAATAAAAACCAATAAACAAAATTTTTTCTTTTATTTTGTAATATTCCTATGCAAAATTGAATTCATTTGAAGTAATCTAATTATCATTAAACGTTACGCCTTGCTAAAGTGATGTGCGTAATTCCACGTTCGCGCGCAATATTTGATATATTATTTAGTAAAAGTTATTTTTTATATGTAATAGCATCATTAAGCTTTGTAGTAAATCGAAGAAGAACTATCGTCGCGACGAATAATATCGCATATAATCGCAATATATTAAATAAAGTCAATTATATTCAAATTATTAATTATTTAGAATGTGTCTCAAGACAAATATTAAAGACAAAAGAGTTTATCAATGGCGAAGCACGATTCTTCTCAGCATCAACGATTTCAGGTATAATGGGCCTTCTACAATAAGCCATTAGTCATAAATCAGAAGTCAGAAGCTAAAAATTGACGACTGTAATAGGTCAATTTCCAGCTTCTAACTTCTGATTTATAACTAATGGCTTATTGTAGAATACCTATAACATTATAGTTATGCACTTTGTATAAGTTGGTTCACAACTATATTATCAAATTTATTATAAATTTATTAATCCTAGCTATATTTTTTTTCTACCCTTGATATACTCGAATCCTTGGAACTCCATCCATATTTGTTACCGTAACTTCCGTAGAAATGGACATATCTCAATTAATTTTTTTTCAATCGATGGAGAATTGATAAAGGAACAAGTTCATAATATGTAAAAGTCGATAGAATTAAAGAGCTTCGAGATATAGGTTCAAAGAAAAAGAAACGTTCGGAAACACGAAAAAATCTCGATTTAGCAAATTGTATTGGAGTTTCTGGGAGCCCAATGCATGTGTATAGCTAAGGTTAATTATGAATCTACTTATTTCAAAGAATCGACATATTTTTTAAACAGACTCAAAATCGTCCAGGCAGACTAACACCGACGCAGTAGTGGAGAAGCGCAGTACAAACATGAGTAAAAGTCACAAAGGTAAGCGCACGAGTCGTGGCAATCGCAAGAAAAAATAATCGATTAACAAAAGCAAAACAAAAAAAAGAGATAAAGAGAGAAGAGGGAGGAAAAGAACGAAAGCTTTCCTCCGAGATAAAGGACGAAATCCATAGACATTGCTCAAGATTCGAGATGATCTTAAGCTAGTGCATGAACCAATCAGAGAGCCGTATTAGCATCTTAAAACATTGCTTGAGATTAAGAACGGACTATGGATTCCGGCTAAAAAATCACTATTGTGATACACAATATCGTGTCGTATCAAACGTCATTGACAGTTACGCAATTGTTGAAGATTAAACATGATTTCGAATAATAGATAACTGTTTGTCATCAAGATATAACAAAGAGATATCAGGTAATCAAAACGTTTATCCGAATGAAAGTCGAGTTTGTGCAGATCTTCGAATCATGATGGCAGTCGCTCGTCAATTATTACTCTTAAAAATTGTTTAACGAATTAAGGTGCTTTCAGATATTTCGTCTTTTAAACGCTTGCATTTCTCTTGAAAATTTCATGTAAATTGTAATTGTCCAAAGTATAACTGGTTCAAAATACATCATCATTATCGCGCTCATTTGAGCTTGATCATTTTCTATAATAATGCAATTATAGTTTGCACAATGTGAGAGGAAAAAATAATGTTCACTAATCCTAAATCGCTTTAAATTCGCACTTTCGTTACTTGAAACCACACTTAAATGGCGAAAGATTAATTGGACAATCGTTTTTTGATTCGTAACTCCGAAATGTACATGTATTTTGAACGGTTGATTTTTTTTCGAATCTGATTGAGTGATAAGCTTTACGAAATTACGGAAACTTTATAGATAAGCGAATGTAACTGCATCTAAATCGCGGCAGTATATTCAAAGTACGTAAGTATTATCGTACACTGAAAGAAAAAATTGGCTGCTGCAGTAATTTAAATAGTAAAATATGGCACAGCATTTTTGATTGGTTGCAGTAACCATTTTCAGTTGCGTTAGCAAATAGACGTTAGCCTGTAGAAATCATATATTGACATTGCCAATCAAAAATGCTATTATGCTATGCTATATTTTATCATCTAAATTGCTACAGCAACCAATTTTTTTCTTTCAGTGTATTTAGACAAAACATCGTGTCTGTCTATTACGTAATTGCGATCATAAATTGAATGTTGTTTCTATACAATACGTTAGTGCAAAACATAACGCTTGCGAAAATATGGTTAAAGTTTTACGTGTTATCTCCAAAACGCTGTTGAATTGATTCTCTTTTTAGATATATTCGCTTATTTATAAAATAAATGTTATAATAAGAAATCAGCAAAAGTTCATTTTTATCAATGCACATATTTGTATAACGCAAACTTTTAATTTTTTCTTTATACTGTAAAAAAAGACTATACATTAAGATAGACGTATACAAAACGCTTCATAAGTCAACTCTTTCTAAGTCTATTTTGAATCTCAAAGCGAAATAAAAATGTCATAGTAATTTCATACGCTAGTTAAAGCACTGTCGTCTAACTTTCTCAATTTAACATTTTATTTAAGTTCTAATTATGTGTGTTATTCTTTTTAGCAATATAATAAAAATATTTAACGTCCACATTGAAAGAAAAAATTGGCTGAATATGGCATAGCATTTTTAATTGGCTGCTACAGCCAATCAAAAATGCTATGCCATATTTTATCATCTAAATTGCTGCAGCAACCAATCTTTTCTTTCAGTACATATTCCTTTTTAAAACGATCGCATTTCTTAGTCAATGATGATCGTATATGAAATAATTATTATTACAGATACTTATCATTTATTTGTATCTGATCTATAATATTTTGATTATTTTTTTATTTAATAGAATCCCCTTAAGATAATTGTAATGAATTATTATCTTCCCTTTTGTAAATGTATATTTAACAGAGATTATTTTATATTAAATGTAGACACTATTGATCTTACGATAATAAATTATTTAACTGTACAAACATGTTTTTTGCTAATTATTTAACGATTAATGCATTATTATATCAACTAGAGTCACAATATGCATCATCAATATATAACTGATGATAAAATAGTCTAAATCAATATCAGGCAAAATGATTGATTGCTCGTTATGACCCCCTTATCTTTCAAGGCATAAATTTTGTGTTGCTCAAAATTATATCAATCTTATACACACTACGATTACAACGCTCGCAATTTCTTTATCCCACCTTTTCGTAAAATTATTAGAGATACCGCGAGCGCGTCCATTTTTGCGACGCAACAACTTGCTCTTATCGCTTTAACCGCGATAAGCAAAGATTAGACCCATATGTCATAGATGTGCTGGATGAACAGATAAATGGTGCCACGTGGCGTTCTGGAAATTTAATGAAAAAATTATACATACGACGACGATATCCGACATCCTGCGATTAAATTGCATCGTGGACTGCATTATTAAATAATTTTTCCACAAATAGTAGTTTTCATCATCTAATGTCATTGATTTTTATGATAACGCCTAACGTGATTTTTCTTACGCAAGATGGTGCCTCCCGCAATAATTACAGTTATTAATATTACGTTACGCGAAGATTGGCTTATCTATGCGAACCACTGCATAAATAAATACAGATAGTGAGGGAAACGATGTTACTTTATCAAGTGCACTCATAACGGGCTTCGTTCGGTAGCACTTGTGGGTAAGCCTTGGATACTTCATCTCGAGGGTCTCTTGTCATTAACAAATTGTATAATGGTACAACTGACTGTCAAGTAGTCAAGAACAATTGGCCGATTACTAGAGCCTCTTTAGAGTTACTGTTCTCAATTGGAATTCGCAACATTGTTATATGAATTTTTTTTATCTCTATGATTTTATGCTGAAATATACTCCAAAGGATAATTTTTGCAGCGATTGACTGTGTATACTGTATTAGTACTGAATCGCTCAACTTGAGAATGAAACTTGGTGATTGTACAAAATATAAATAACATAACAAAGTAACATAATGACAAAATAATATATCGATGATAATAATAATAAAAATAAAAGCGCGCTTGTGTTTGCTGAAGTTACGCTGTGTCAGCATAGCCTAGTAGAAAATCCTAACCTAGCAATGCACGATAAAATCATTTTACACGTGATAGAGATACGGCAATCTACAATTTTCTTCTTTTTTCTTTTTTACAGTTACAAAGTCACAAATGACAGATAAAGACTTTTTGTTTTTTAATCTTAACGTAATTGCACGTACACTGAAAGAAAAGATTGACTGAATAGCATTTTTAATTGATTGCAGCAGCCAATTTTTGATTACGTTAGCCTATCGAAATCGTATATTGCAGATAAGCTAACGCAACCAAAAATTAGCTGCTACAATCAAAAATTGGCTGCTGCAGCCAATTAAAATGCTATGCCATATTTTATCAATTAATTTGCAGACAATCTTTTCTTTCAGTGTACACATAATAATGCAACGCATTTTGGATATATGCAATCTACATTATGTCTATTTATCTATATATCTTTCATATTTATATGCACAATGTGTATAACGTGAGAGAATAGTGTTTTTAACTTGTACTTGATATTATAAAATTACAATTATTATAATATTAATTATATTCGTAAAGCTATTATGCTTTTCAATTTATGAACTCACGATAATAACAAATTAATTATATATAAGAAAAAAAAGTTGTTTTTTTTGAAAATGTATTTAAACATATAAAGCAGGGAGAAATAATTATGCAAATGCATCATCAGAGATCGAGAAAATTTGATAATATTTTGGCCGTTATGATTTCGCAGTAGTCAAACTAATCTATGTAGGATGTTATCACACCGATAAGGTTGCCGGAGTTCCTATCAGGTAGCCATATTTTTGATACAATATATAGGTGATCGATATATTGCCACATAGTTCTCAGTAAAGTTATCACGAGTTGGACGAGTTATAATCTCGGTGTTATTTTCCACGATAATTTTCATTAAATTCCTCTTTCGAGTGTCGAAACGCTTCTTCAATAAATATTTAATAGATAATGCGTAAAGACGTTGGGGAAAAAAGTGAAAATTTTGAACTCACTATATCAAGAAGAACTTTTCTATATCCCGACAAATGGTGGTCACGTTATTACTAATTCGTTACATCTATTTTAACATCGATGAATGCTCGTAAAATCAGTTTTTCCAGAAATTCTTAAAGCTATGTAAGTTAATCCACATTGTATCAAGACTTCCCTTGCGCTTTGTTTAAATTCACCGTAAAATAGGATTTGTGTCACAGTCATTGCAGGAAGATATGCAATGATCCTTCGCGCGAAACACACATCAGAATTTAGAGGAACGTGAGCATGAAATGCGGGGATCTATCCGAAAAAAGATTTACTTATTGAAGCAATAGTCGAAGTCAAAGAATTCTTTTGGCTGTCTTTTCGATGAATCAACCGGCGGAGGTACGTTTTTGACCGGAAAAGCCGCGGGATATTTTTCAACTTTTTGTGTCGTCTACAGAAACGAGCACGTTCGTTGATCGATTTAGTGAAAAAAAAACAAGAAAAATGGCAGCCGGATACGACGATTGTTACGACGCTTCTTGGCATTTGATACCGCCCGATTATGTCAGCAACGAGGAGGATTACAGGTAAAAAATAGCGCGCGCGCGAAAAAGATTTTAGAGATATGTTCTGTATGGAAAATAATAGTTGAGAATAACAGAGTTTAGCTGATTTTTAACTTTTAGTGATTAAAACGGAATTTTAAACGATAACTTTAATTTCTAACTATAAGATACGTGATAAATTAATTTTAAAATTGTTACCGCATGTTACTTTAAATTTAAAATTTAAAAATCTTACAATGGTAAATTTAACGTTATCTATAAATAAATCAGACATCTTAATATAAATCTATCAGATATTTAATCTATCGAGGTAGAGAGATAAGAAGCAAGCTCTGTGAAATCTCAACACACATTTAATGTATTATTTTATGAAAACGAAAACGTCTTCACCATTGATCTCGAAATATTAAAAGGATTACTCGATCTCCGCGTATTTGCGCGGGCAATTAACATATCTGATTAAGCCGATAATACCGGAAACCGGAAGCGAACGTTTAAGAGCAGTCACGCATATCGGTTAGGCGAATCCTTCGGCGTAGAGTGGTACGCCTTGTTA